GTTTTCTCTGGAAGGGGTCTTTTTCCTTTGTAGAAAAATTAGTTTAAGTTTTAACTGTAATCCGGAGATTAATGGTTGGCAATGAGACTTAATGTCTGTCACTGAGTCCATTTTTAGAAGAAGCTCCTGACTTCATGAAGCTGGAATTGAACAGTACAATCAGTTAGGTATGTTAGAAAAACATAGTTAGGATTTAGTATGCTTCCTCTCTTACTCTTGTGACTATCAGGACCCAAACGAGTGACTCTGTAAATCTTGTATCAATGATACTGCAGACACTGAGTATTTTTGGAATTAAAGTGCAGCTTTATAGTCAACAAGGTGTGTCCAGGCTTTTCTGTTGTGTTTTCTGAATGCTTGGTTTCAGTTTTTAAAAGTTGGGGGTCAGTGGTTCACAGTCTGAATTCCACTGGTTTGGAGACCATAGTCCATGTTGCTGTGGGGGCTGGTTTGACTCTTGGCCAAGACCCTTTGCTATATGTCTTTCCCCATTTTCTACTCCCCACACACTCCCTGCCTCTCTTCAGCTGTCCTATCTAATAACTTGGCAAAATGCCCCCAACAAAGTGGTCATGTAACAGTTTCCATAGTATAGACACCCTCACACCTGACTACATTTAAACTACCCTTTGTCTTTTTACATGTTCCCCTCAAAGGGGTTTAGAGTTTGTATTTGTTAAATGGTATTATACATCTCTCCATAGGAAGACAATAAAACAACACAACATATAAATTGATTGAACCTTTAAATCCCCAAATCACCTGTAGTTTTGACATGATGTCACATGTTCTTGTTTAAGCTTGTTAAATGCAGGAAATTCATTCAAGGTGATTTGTGGTCAGATTCTTGGAGACCAACAGTTCACTTTTCCACCTTGTAATGACCCTCTCTTTGTTATCACATCATTAAAGCACCCCATGGAGGTAGACTGAGAAAATTCCTCTTCCTTCTTTGCATAGAAAAAGGGAGTCTGGTTCGACCAGCATAGGTGCCACATACAGTGTGGCCACACCTTTGCCTGGGATATGTTTCAGGGTGTTAACTTCAAAGAAGAAAAAAAAAACCTTTCATTAAGAACAAGTTTAGTTCAACTCAAAGATTCACAATGTGAACAGTTGGCTCCATTGACCTCAGCAGCTGGTTTGTTGATATGACAACAACAATTAATCGCAAAAGAGTCAAAGAGGCAAAAACTATCTTATTATGGACGGGTCCGCCTCCATTTAATGCAGACAGTTTCTCCTCCTGCTCTCCCCTCCCAGTTTCAAGGAAAGCTGTCCAATCTGAGGTCATGTGCATCTGTTCTTTCGTACAGATGATGCATTGTTTGATCATCAGCCTCCAACTTTTCCCCCTTGTGGTTTTGAAGCATCTCTGAAATGTGACAGAAGAGTGTTTCAGAACCACACCCATATAATCTTTGATTTTCCAAGGCTTTTTTATCTGTAGTATTTAAAAACATTTGGTCTCTTTCTGATGGATCTTGAATGCAGTACTGAACATGTTAATTTATTAAAGTTAAAGAAGACTCAGAGACCACCAGACTCAACTTCACAGATCTGAAAATCTCCTTCTTTAACGTAAAATCAACCGTAAAAAAAAAACAATTACAAAAAAAGGACCACAGCCAGCCTGATGTGAGCACTCATGCCCTGACTGTGGCTCTTTACTGAGACAAACACATTTCTAGTAGATAGAAGTGGTGTGAAAACATTACAGTGTCACCCTTTTGGATATTTAGCAGTAAATATATTTGGTCTTTACTTAATACAATGTCAGGCTTTCTCTCTCCCAGATTAGCTCACGACACAGATTTTCAGATTAGCTGGTGTAAGGCAGTCAGTGTTTCAGAAAGAAGCATCCAGCTTGGTGGCATTCCTGCACAAATATATGGGCGTGTTCAGGTTTTGTGTGTGAGTGTGTGTTTGTGCGGAGTGAGGGGGTAGACGATGACAAAATGACAAAGCATTCTGTCATCTTTTCTGGTTTTAGTTTTCAAAGAGGGAGCTACATTTCAGTGAATGCCATAAACGGTTGGAGAAAATCTGTCTAGATGTTGTGTTTGTGTTTATATGTTGTTTGACTTCGCCTTCTTCGTGGGGGCCCACCACAGGGCAGGAGCTGCTGGGTTGGGAAAAGTGATAACCCAGAGCAGATTTATGGTCCATGATTATGCTTTCAATTGGAGTATGTCTGCATGCCAAAGGTATAAGTTGGTGTATGTAGGCTGGGGTCTTTACCAGGAAAACTATGCTCACGGAGAGGTACCGAAACCACTAACTGTGTGAGAGAGACAGAGATCTCAGTTTTAAAATTGTGTGTTTATGGTGTGTTAATATGATTAGAGGTAGTCTCTGAAAAAAGAAGAATTTGTGCCTCTGTCTGTAAAATGAGGTCCTCCCCCCAAAAAAACAACTTAAGCAGATCTAAGTGTGAGACACAGACCCTAGATTTGTGTGTTTATATGGAAAAAACGCTGTGAAAGGAGGAAGAGGAGACAAAAAAGATGCGTTTGAATCATGTGCATCTTTTAAGCAGGTTTTTCCTGAATGGGAAAGGAAATATGAAACTGGTCACATGACTTTTCTTGCTTTAAGAGTCATAAAAACAGAATTAAATAGCCATGTGCTGCAGAGCAGTTGTAAGAGAAACAACAGCTGCTTTAGACTGCAGCTATTAATCAGTAAATATGTGAGCACTCTGTATGTAATAACAATATACATTATTGTAGACTAACTCCATGTTACTGAATTTTGTCCCTCCAAAAAGACTCACAAAATGTTTAAGCTTCAGTTACAACAATGATTACTGATAACCAATATTTATAATTAGACCAATGTCTACTGATTGTTATGCCTCAGATAGACAACGTTTGGTTATTTGTTGGTCAGAATGGCAAAACATTAAAAAAATGCTAATTGTGCTTTAACTAGGCCACGTGTCGTTCCGACAGACCCTACTTCATTTGATCTCTTATAAACACAAACCCATTCTGGGTATCAACTTCTGTTAGGTTTAACATGCCTTGATTTTTCTCCACCTATTCCCCAACTGCCTTTTGTGCTGTTATTTAGGCATGATCATCCTTGTGACTCTGTCAAGCTCAATTGCAGAGTTTTAGGTTGTTTTTCCTTTTTTTTTTTTGGATAGCAGCAAGATTTGTCGTCACATAAACATAGCCTACATTTGTTCTAAGTGTGCCAGTGTAAACTGGAAGCAGCCCTGGACACAATTTTTTCATTCTGGGAATTCCTTTATTGTTTACATGTCAATTAGGAGTTAATTACCTCTGTCCGGATGAATGAAATGTAGTTTTTGGTGAGTGTTATTTTTCAATAAATCCATGCAGCATCTCAAGGTTTTCAGTGAGAATTGACTCAGTCTTTAAAATACAAACAACCTTTTATTTTGCGACCACACCTGTAACATGTCAATCATCACACCTCAGTTAAGGTCCCGCCCAGGCGTTTCCCATCAGGCCTACTGACAAGAAACATCTACACAATGCTGTAAATTAAACCTGTACTAACAACTGATTCATGACTTTAGGCAAACGTGACTCAGGACAGAGGTGACAGTTCAGCAGAGCCATCAGTCTGGCTTATCTGGTGGCAAAAAGTGGCATTACAGCAGTTTCAAGTGGGTGGGCGGGGGTGTTTGAGTTGGCAAGTAGGAGTTTCAGTGCTTTTTTCTGTAACAAACACCCCTCTCTTTTTCTGCTTTGTCTCTGCAGCAAGATGAGTTCAGATGGACAGAAGACACTCCCGCCCTACATCATACCAGGTAAACACATCACACATCAAGCTCACTCACATGACTGTTGTTGTCTGACTGGTTCACTGAATGTATTTTACTTTCCTTCATCCTGCAGAAGGTCCAAGTACGGGTCAGGGGGACATACCTGAAGTGAGGGTTTACAATGTCCACACCCCATTTAACTACCATGGCAGCTCAAGTGCCTCCAATGTCACACCAGGTAAATGCACGCCTGATGTTCCACTGCCTGATGTGACCTGTTGAAATCCTGACAGTGACTTTTCAATCAAAGTTAATCAACTTTGTTTCTCTCCTCCCCTCCCCATCAGTGTTCACTAGCGGAGGAGGAACCCATGGCTCAGGGCTGGATGGTGGGGATGGCAAACAGAGGTTTGTGAGCTATGACTCAGCACTTGGGGATTCTCCAGGAATGACAACCTGCACTTCCTGCCAGCAGCAGGTCATGACCAACGTCACCTACAAAGCAGGGACCTACGCCTGGCTCATGTGCTTGCTCTTCATCTGCTGCGGGTGAGTGTTTGCACCAGGTCCCCAACACCAACAGGAATTTCTGCTCATGAATACTAAACAGCACAGTTTCACTTATTTTCACCGTGGGTTTGTCGAGTTGTGCTGCCTTGTCAACATGATAGAAGATCAGGGCCATATCAACAAAAAATGATTAAGATGTTACAAATCTTAATAAGAGCTTGTCAAATGCTTTGGTTTCACTTTCTGAGGAGCCAACATATCATCCATCCTTTTGGATGATAATTCTTGAATCTGAGGGTTTTTCTGGATTTAATTCGGTTTTTTAGTGATCAACAGTTCAGATTTTTGCCTCAATTGGTGTTGATATTTATTTTTACATATTCAAACAACTTTGTAACTGTTGAATTTGCGGCTATTCTGAAGCACCTTGTGACCTGTGTTTTGATTCATGCTATTGTTTTTAAGACATTGCACACTTGAGCCTTTTCTCATCAAAGCAGTGGTGGTTTCAAGTCCAGGGAGAGCAAAGACAACCAGTTTTAGGCTGCAGTTGGAGAGGATTTTGCATCTGTCTTTAAGAAGTAAAACAGAATCTGTGCATTGACACTGACTCTGTGAATATATATGTTGTAGGTTGGTCCTGTGCTGCTGCCTGATCCCCTTCTTCATGAAGAGGTTCAAGGACTGTTACCACACCTGCCCACGCTGTAACAGAGTGCTGCATGTGGAGAAGAGAAAATGCTGTAAATGATGGAGATGTGGGCAAAAACATCCCCCATAGAAATATGAAATAGCATCCTGCTACTTTTGCATATGTTTAGGATGTCCATGTTTATTTCTGTGGGTGTTCAACGGCACTAGCCGATTCAGAATCTAAAATCATATTATAAGCAAACAGACTGGGAGTGATTTTGTTGTCAGAGTATAGACATTGGAGCTCTGACAAGTTAAATCAAGCACAACTTTTTGCACTTTTTGGAAGCTGTTTTATTTTTGTCCCAGCAGATAAAAGAATAAACTTTTTATATAACTCTCCTAAAATACTTCTGCACACATGATGTTACTAAAATGAAGGCTTGTACATAAATGTCATCAAATACTTCATATTTGAGAGACTGTGGATTTGAAACTAAGATAGACCAGTCCCCCTGCTAAAAGATATTTAAAATAAAAGCCAACACCGAACACAAAACTAGAGGATATTTCTGTAAATCATAAATTAAGTTTAGAGAACAAATTTGAACCAGTGTGACTTCTTTATATTGTGTTTATATGTTTACAGCCATGAAAGTACTCTTTTATTCTAGCAGATGGGATGAGGGGTGATTTAAGTGAACAGGTAGTTCAAAAAGAGCTGATTTAATGCACATCATCTGGCTTTAGAAAAAGTTTTCCTTTGCTCAATCCAAACTTTACCTCTGAACAAAAATGTGTCATGTTTAATCACCATAATGCAAAGACCAATGCAAGATTTATACTAGACTATATAACAATATTACAGGGTTTTCCACCATATGTGTTTGTAAGGCCGCTGATCAGAATATTGAACATTTTAAATCCTTGTAATAATTATCTGTCACTTTGCTTTGCTGCCTTTTATAGAAAATTATTTCAAGAAAGCATAAAAGTTTTGTTGAGGGATGTGACTCTTCTGCACATTTTCCACTGGATGAAACTGAGTGTGTTTGGACTTCTGTTATGTGCTATTATCTATTTTATATCATTATTTCTCTAATAAAAGCACACTACATAGATGATATTTGGAATGCTGTTGTGGTACTTTTCTTTATGTTTTATCTCTTTGACCTTACCTTCTGCTGTGGAGGTCAGGTGAAAGGTCAGAGGACAGCTCCGTTTAAATCCCTTTTAAGTAAAGTCAGCAAAGCAGCCAAGAAAAGTGCAACTACTAATCATCTGATGATTATAAAAGTAGAGACAGACCAATAATTGGGCCAATTGAGTCGGTGTCAAATCGACATTAGTGACATCGACATTATCTTTCAAAACAAGAAATGCATTTGACAGCATATAAGATTTAAGAATGACTGTTATTTGATATAGATTTAGTTTTAATATGTAGAATAATGCAGTTTAATGGTATTAATATTTAACTTTTATATTTTTTCCTCTTTGGTAATCTGGGATGGCTGCACAGGGATCCAAAGGTCCCTTGTGGCAATATCTTACCAAGTCTTCTCTCTATATTTATTAGATAAAGCACCCAATTAATTTCAACAAATTGTTTGTCATATGTTAGCATTATTACCGTACATCCTCAAATACAGGCTGGGTCTTTTACTTGTTTCTACTGCCTAAAGCACCAGGCCTTTTTATAGGGTAGGCCATTTCTCCATTTATAGGATAAGAAGTGAGCCTGACAGTCCACCTGCTTGACTCCAATCACCACTGTCCCTTCTCCGTCTCTAGTATCAAAGTCCAGAACAGACTTGCTGTAAATCTCTTGGCTGCAGAATGAATGATTGGATGTTTTAGATCATTTGTTATCAAAGATATCTTTATCATCCCGCCCAACTAAATTGACTTAACCTTAAAAATCTCCAGTGACTTAAACGTTACTCCATGTTGTTAAATTACGCTACTGTCTCATCCAAACCCACAGAGACCCATACTTGGACCCTGGGTTTAACACTATTAACTGTATGGATAACTCGGGCCCATTAATTACCGAAGCTACACTTTAGGAGTGGTTTATTTGGAAAAATTTCCTGTAAGGTAAACCAACAGTATGTGTCTGCAGAGCCCGACAGCCAAGCAGATCCACAACCGTGACAGAGTCACAACCCTCTTTGCGCCCCTGCTGGACAGAGTAGGTCATTGCATGACGGATCCACAACCCTCTTTTTAATCGCTATTCCACATCCACTTTTGTGCCTAGAAAATTTAATTGGTAACGCTTTCTTTACGGTACACTTGTTACCAGGTAATTAACAGGTAATTACCTAGTAACAACATGAAATTATCTGGTAATAACATGATAACTACTAAGTCAATACTGTCCAGTTTTTCTTTTTTTCTTTTTTCTGTGCAGCTTTATTTTCAAAAGCTATTTGGGGTTCTTATTTTCTATGATTGACACTTGATACAGCCTATGGGCGTGGGAAGATTGTGTCTCGATACGCCGTTTGAGCCGAGCATTATCACAACAACTCACCCGCCGAATGCGTACAATGCTACTGCGCGGTGGTGGTTACAGGAAGCTGAGAAAATCCCGGAAATACCAGAGCAATTTGGCTTCAAATTTGTATGATGATGGAAGGTTACCTACCTGGTAGCTAGACAGTATTGACTTAGTAGTTATCATGTAATTACCAGATAATTTCATGTTGTTACTAGGTACCTGTTAATTACCTAGTAATAAGTGTACCGTAAAAGAAAGCGTTACCATTTAATTTAATAAACAAGTTAATACATAAATAAGTGACAGCGGTCACATATTATCATCTAATCAAAATAAGTCTTTGAAATTTGTGAAGAAAGTGCTCAGTTCTTGGGACTCTGCCCACTTCCTTTCAAGGATTTGAAATTTATTTTAAAAATAAAGAGGGGCCCACAGTCACATATTTAGATATAAATCTAGGTTTCATTAATTTTACAGTTTTTTACTTATCATCTTTTTATGTATTGTCTGCCAGCCTATAATATTCTGGGTTTATTCTACCAATATATTAACTTATATTATCCCAATATCATAGGGATTGCCCTAGCTTTTATACTATTCATTCCTTGGCAATAACTTTGACCCCCTGAATGCAATAGTATGCGTCTGCAGAGCCGGATGAATGTGATATTTTGTGTGTGTTTTTCATGTATATTTTCATGTGATCATCTCATGCACATTATTTGTCATCGCACTTCTGTTTCATCCACTACAATGCTAGTAGCCTACAGGTCAAATAGTACATTTCCGAATTCCGACAAGCTAATGTTAGCATTAACGTGACCGAGATTCAATATGTATTTTAGACTGTCATGGAAAATAGATAGGGAAAAATGTCATAAATGGAGCCTGTCACATTTACATTTATTTCAAATTCCAGACAACAGTTTTTTTAATTACTAAAAAATTATGTGATTCACGTTTGATACTCGATCATGATGTTGCTCCATTCGAGCCAATAACTTTTGAGAAAGGAGCAGTGGTTAAAAAGAGGGTTGTGGATCTGTTATGCAATGACCTACTCCGTCTAGCAGGGGCGCAAAGAGGGTTGTGGATCTGTCACAGTTGTGGATTTGCTTGGCTCTCTGGCTCTGCAGACACCCCCTACTCAGGTAAACAGGGTTTTATTTCGTTATACAGCTGTAATTTGTCAAAGTAAACAAAGGGACATGATCACAAGACACTGTATGCTCTGAAGGTGTTTAGTAGTCATACAGTGCTGGGCTCTTTAAACCCAAATAAACAAAGTATTACTGCGTTTTTTACACAAGTCATTTTGAAATCAATCAAACAGACATGAAGTCTAATAAACCAAGAGAACAACAAAAGCATTAGGCTACTTGGCCCCTAATGATTTTGTAATTTAGCTTTTCTTTGCTCCTTTTTTCCTTTTCTTTGCTCTTTGTCGCTCCGCTTTTATACTGATATGACTTACCACTCATGTTTAGCTTAGTATGTAAAACCACTCCACCTAGCTTGCACTCTGTTGACAAGTGACTGATGATGACGCTGGTGGATGGTTAATATCGATCTTCCTCAGAAATCATTTGGAGACAATGTCGGCGATCAGCTTGTACATGTGCATGTCGTAAAGTTAACTCTGAGAGTGAAAATGAAGCCAGCACAACATTTTATTCAATATTTTACACCCAACCACAGTACTCAGTTTTGTAACGTTTTTACCAACCATGACTCCCTGCACAACTGCCATGCCTTTTCTAAAAACTTACTTAGGACAAATATTTCCTCCTTTAACAACCAACATAACATAGAACTTTCAGAGATCCAAAACTAATCAAAATTATTTTCTAATGTTTTTTTTTTCTTCGAATAAAACAATTCAGCAACGTGATATAGTGGACAATGAAACACAAAGTGAAAATCATCCCCCACAACTTCTAGGTCACAAAGTAGACACAATTGCCGTTCCTTAGGAATACCTTTATACTTATACCACCTCAACTTCCAAGGGTAAAACACCCACTCTTAATTGGACACAGAGGGACCTCTGTCCTTTTTTGAAATGAAATGAAACAGAAGGTTCAGTGGAATACTCAAATTTGATTTCAACATAATTTCTTAGTTTAGCTTTTTTTCCCCATAAATCCTCCTTCCATTGTTGTTGGTGTAACAATGACAGTTTCTATTTAACCTCCTTTAAAATACCCAAATGACTCTCTCTATTCTTTTTTCTCTTTTTCCTGAAACCGGCAATTGTACAGTAGTGTACAGTGGAAGAGTTGCTGTGATGACGCTCTGACCCAATAGTGTTTCGAAGATCTACGAAACCTTCTTATGCCCATAGGCTATAGTTAGTATCAATCATAGAAAACATGAACACCCTAACCGTACACACCGGTGGCGAGCACGAAAATGTCACTGCACCCGCTGATTCTGTCGACACCTCCCCCTGCCACGCCACCATGCCCAGCTTGGCGGATCTCGGCTCGCCTCTGTGCGCCTCAGTCCACAAAAATACCAAACTGGCTGTATGCCGGGCTGCGCCAGACGAAAATACAACTGCGCGGGGCTCGCCGCCCTCCGCCGCCTCACGGGCGTTCACGAAAATAGAG